ACACACACACACACACACACACACACACACACACACACACACACACAGGACCTCTATGGGCACCTACAGTCATGGAGTGCACTTATCTCCCGGACAGACACACAGACACACGCACAATTTAAAATTGGCTGGATGGGGCTGGAGATGGCTCAGAGGTTAAGAGCATTGGCTTGCTCTTCCAGAGGTCCTGAGTTCAATTCCCAGCAACCACAAGGTGGCTCACAACTATCTTTAATGAGATCTGGTGCTCTCTTCTGGTGGGCGGGTGTTTATGCAGACAGAACATTGTATACATAGTAAATAAATAAATCTTAGAGAGAGAGAGAGAGAAGTTAGAATACTTTTTAAAAAATTGGCTGGATGGACGCAGTGGTGGATACCTGTAACCCTAGTACTTGGGTGTGGAGGCGGGAAGACCAGGAATTCAAGGCTGTACTTGGTTACATAGGGAATTCAAAGCCAGCCCAGGCTAAATGATATCCTGTTTCAAACAAATAAGCCAAAACAGTAATAACTTAAATTTTAATTGGATCATTAACAATGTTGATTTTCTTAGAGTATGGGTATTTAGGGGAGAGCAGCTAGCATACTAATTTCTAAAAACTTGTTATGTATGCAGGACTGCCTGAACTATCCTCCGCTGCAAAACACGAAGACAGTTTGTTTAAGGATTTATTTGAAGACTATGAAAGGTGGGTTCGTCCTGTGGAACGCCTGAGTGACAAAATAAAAATCAAGTTTGGCCTTGCAATATCTCAGTTGGTGGATGTGGTAAGTATGGATGCCATTACATGCTCTGCTTCACACCAACTTCGGAAAGGTCAGAGGTTACCAAGGTGACCAAACATAGCCCTTAGTTCAAGGAGCTCTTGAGGGAACAATTACTAATCTGCCACAGCCGAAGTACTACTCTGTTTATATGTTGTTGTAAAGTTTAGAATTTGTTTTTTCTCATTTGCTAATAACAGATCTATCCTTAATGACATTTAAAGATATTAAAGCATTTTATATTGAAGTCCCCCCTTAAGGTGTATGTAAGCATGTGCCAGAAGGTATGAGCAGAGTCTAAGAATAGAACCGTAGATCCTGAGAAATAGAAACTATATTAACATTGTTCCAAGAGCATACTCTGCTGGGCAGTGGTGGAACACTCCTTTAATCCCAGCACTCAGGCAGAGGTAGGTGGATATCTGAGTTCGAGGCTAGCCTGGTCTACAGAGCAAGTTCCAGGACAGCCAGGGCTACACAGAGAAACTGTGTCTCAAAAAAATGTCATGCTTCAAATGTATCAGGGGCTGGAGAGAGGGCCCAGTGGTTAAGAGCTCTGACTGCTCTTGCAGAGGACCCAGATTTGTTTCCTAGCACCTATATTGTGTTCATAACCAGTCATGACTTTAGTTTCACAGGGTCTTGTGCCTTCCTCTGTGTAGCCTTGGCTGTTCTAGACTCCTTTTGTAGACCAGGCTGGCCTTGAACTCACAGAGGTCCGCCTGCCTCTGCCTCCCTGAGTGCTGGGATTCGAGGCATGCACCCCCCACACACACTTGGAATGTGTTTTTGATATAAGTTTGCTGACTGCTTTTCTCCCCACTTACATTAAAATCCTTATATAATTTAATCATATTTTTATTTGCATAAAACTGTCTAGTTTTCTTCTAATGATGATATGTTTGTACACAAATGTCTGAATCTCTCCCTTCTTTAAGAAAGGCAGGCTGGGTATGTATGTAGCACATTTCTCCCCACCCTTTTAGGTGAATAATATTGTGCTCGTATCTTAGATTCTGTCTTAAATTTGAGGAAATGTAGTAGTTGAGACTTTAAAGCTAAATGCAGAATCCCCAGTGGTATGCTTGATGGTAGTTACTGAACTGCAGAATGTCCAGAGGAGATGAGCAGGAGACTAAGCTGATTTTCTAGAGAAGCAGATTAATTAGCAGAAAGTTCATCCTGTACAGAGAGAGGCATTTTTTTTTAAAGCTTAAGAACCATATTATTGAAGTTTGAGAGAGAGGGAGGAGAAAGGGGGAGGGGGAGAGAGAGGGGAGGAAAAGAGAGAGGGAGAGACAGAGGAGGAGAGACAAACAGCAGGCAAGCTGTAAATCTCAGCAGGAGCGGGGAGGAAGGAGATGGAGCCATGCCTTCTGAGTTAGGGTCAGCAGCGGAGGTCCGCAAGCCGCTGTAGAAAGTGGGTAGCATTTTCAGAAAAATAGCGAGGAAGCCAGAGTGTCTGGGATGGCTGATACTCAAAGAAGAAACAGAAAGGGGGAAAGGAAGTTACACCATTTTGAATTAGAACTCAGGAAAGTGGATAGGCCTGTCAGCAACTGCCACAAATGTACAAACTCATAAAGAATTATTGCTTATGTAACAGAAATAAGCAACCCCCCTTTTTTATAGGATGAGAAAAACCAGCTAATGACAACAAACGTCTGGTTGAAACAGGTATGTATAGAACATTCAAACCAGCACCCAGCTTGCACCATTATTTATTATTGGCAAAAAGGAACCTGAGTATGGGTGCTCTGTGGATTGTCAGGTTGTGCAAGGATGAGAATAGATGGACTTATTGTAGTCATTATACATGTATGTATGTATAGGTATATATTTGTTTTGAACCAGGGTCTTGTTCGGTAGCCATGCTGAGCTTAAATTCTTCAGTCTTCCATCTTTATCCTCTCAAGGTCTGGGATCACAGGTATATGCCACTATTTCTGCTCTAGTTGGTATTTTTTTGTGTTTCTGATATGTGCTAAGCAGGGGAGAAACTACAATGAATGGAACAGACAAAAACTCATTGTTCTCCAGAACTTCATTCTAGGGGGAAGAGAATGAACCCATAGAGACTGACAGTCTGAGAGAGGATCACATGGGAGGGGATGGAGAGAGTGTTGGGGACTGTATTTGTAAGCGAAAAGAAACAACTAACCAAACAAAACACCCAAACAAACCATAAAAACATGACTGAAAAGGCAAAGTTTGTACAGTCTCAAGGGAGATGACGCAAGAGTGTTTTGGGTAGAGGAGCCAGCAAATGAAAGGCCCAGAGGCTGGATTGCATCTAGTAAGGAGACCAGTGTGGCTACAAGTACGTGAGCCGTCGGGGGAGGTGTGGAGACAGGGGTCAAAGGAGCAATGAGAAGCCAGTAGAATAGGAGCTTCTAGGTCACTGCAAGGATCTGGACTTCTACTTTTATTTGTTGTTATTTTTTTTTTAACTAAAAAATATTTATATATGAGTGTTTAGTCTGCATGCATGTAAGTACGCATGTATGTGAAATGCCCAAGGAGGGCATTGCATGCCCTGGAACTGGCATTCAGAGGGCCGTAAGCTGCCATGTGGATGCTAGGCCCTGCTGTTCTCCAAGAACAGCGAGTGTTCTCTCACCGAGCCATCTGTCTATCCCCAGGATTTTGCCTTTTAACTTGACTACAACAGGAAAGGATAAGAATGCAACTAGGGGGCTAGAGAGATGGCTCAGAGGTTAAGAGCGTTTCTGTTGGCTGCTCTTCCAGAGGTCCTGAGTTCAATTCCCAGGAACCACATGGTGGCTCATAACCATCTCTACTGGGATCTGGTGCCCAGTGCTGGGCATGCAGGAAGCTACCATATACATAATCAATCAATCAGTCAGTCATCTTGGCTGGAGAGATGGTTCAGCAGTTAAGAGCACTGGCTGCTCTTCCAAACCTGGGTTTGATTCCCAGCACCCACATGGCAGTTCACAACTGCCTGGAACTCTAAGATATGTCACCCTCTCATTGACGTACATGTAGGCAAAACAGCAATGCACATAAAATAAAAACAAATAATTAAAAAAGAATGCAACTAGTTATTATTTTGTTATAATTATCAACATGCCAACTGTACATCTGATTGGGATTCGCTGTGGCATTTTCACACACGCACACACCTTGCATTGGCCATGTCCACCCAGCCTTCTATTGTCGAGCTCCTCCCCCGGCACCCTTCCCAGGCCCCAGCAATCCCTTTGTCATAAATTATTTAAGGACTTTTAAATTCTGGGCCACCAGACATGGCCTCCAGCTGCTGTTCAATGTTTCTTATTGTTTATTCTTTCTCTCACTCTCTCCAGTTATTTATACCTACAACCAATAGGTTGACCTGACCCCAGACTTACAAGAGACAGCTGATGTTGTTCCTTTGCTTGTTTGTTGCACTGGGGATTGAACCCAGGTCCTGAAGGACCCCAGGCAGGTCTACCGCTGAGCTACCTCTCCAGTTCATTCCTTAGTTTGATAGGGTTGCAGAATTGTCACTGCTGGGGCACTGGACAAAGTGCGTAAATGTTTGGGATGCAGAATAAATCGAGCTGCCTTCACCAAACCCAGCACAGTGCAGCTGGGAAGGTGAATGGTTTCCTTAGACCTTAGGCACCATGGCTTCGAGTTTTGAGTATGGTCGGCTGGAGGGAGAAGAGGAGCCTAGTAGAGAGCCATGACTGCATGAGCATGGCCTCATCTGTGCCTCATCAGGACCACAGCCAGAGTCATTGCTCACAGGGACCAGCCATTATTAGTTTAGAAGGTTTTCTGAATGAAAATCAGAAATGATTCATGTCTCAAGTTTCTGGGGGTGACAAAAAGTTCAGTTTTAACTTACTTTATTGATTGACATGGGGTGAATTTGTCATTTTAAAGGGATGGGTAGACGCAAAGCTAAGATGGAACCCTGATGAGTACGGAGGAATAAAGATTATTCGTGTCCCTTCAGACTCTCTGTGGACCCCAGACATCGTTTTGTTTGACAAGTAGGTCATATTCTAAATATTACTTTGTATTTACAAAAGAAAACTTGTATTGCTATTAGGCCCTAGTTTTTTTCCCTCTCATCTGCAAACTGTTGAGCTGGGAAATCAAATGGCTTGAGTCTGTGCCCATTTGTTTCCTGGGTGCTGTGGCTCCTTTGACTTTTTTGGTGTGCTATTTTTTTTTTTAATCATAAAATGCTTGTTATTTGATTTCTGAAATAAGGAAACAGACTTGGCAAACATGGAAAGGAAAGAGGAAAGGTGGGAGGGAGAACGGCTGCGATGAACTTGCATACACAGCAGACTTTTAGGTGCTTGGCAGTGTGCTCACGGCCATCTTAGATGCCGGGCTCCCCATCCTTCTCAGGCCGAAGGCAGATACACTTTGCTGTGCTCACAGAGCACTCATATGGTAAAGTAAGGGCTCACCCCAAAACCCTGTGACATCCCCACTTACCCCCTTATTCAAGTCAGACTTCTGGGTTTGGGGGGATTTGTTTTTTAGTTGAGGTTACTGTTTATGCTCAACGCTGTCTTCTCATAGTACATTGTAATAGTACATTGTCATGACAGCACAGCCCACTTTCCCCCGGTGAGGAGTTCAGGGTTGGCGTTTTGCATTCTCTTCCCCACCACCCCTCCCAGAACCAGCTCGGAGGAAATGTGAGGGTTTGCATTTATCCTGTAGCACCGTCTTATTTGCACAAAGGCTTTTAGAGCAAATGCTATGCAAAAATGATCTTTTGAAACCTTCTGCTTCCGTGTACTTTGATGTGGAAGGATGGGGAAGGCGTGTAAGGTACGTGTAAGGTGTGAGGCAGCTGTCTGCACATCCTCTTACTTTCAGTAACTGAAAGCACTCTGCCCTATTTGCACAAAGGCTTTGGCACGAGGACAGAGCAAATGTTGTGCAAAAACGGTCTTTTGAAACCCTATCATACTAATATGAAAGGATGACCCAAGCTTGTAAGGCAGCATGAGGCAGCCCCTGAGCATTGGCTGCTCTCTGGGTCACAAACATTTTTATAACTAAACATAGTTACATTTCTGCACATGAACCTAAAGCCCTCGAGCAGGACTGTGAAGGAGTCGGGTGCCGGGGCTCAGAGCCTCTGCAGCTCAGGAGGTCCAGGTGTGCTCTGCCCGGGGCCAGTACTCTTTTCTGCTTAGGGTAGAAATCATCTATTCTTTTTCTGGAGGAGGAAGTCTAGGAGTGTGCATTCAACTCTGCCTGTCTGCATGCCCAGTATATAAACAGCCTGATTCTACTTGTATGTAAAGTCAAGTCTTTTTAACTAGTAAAACTTAACATTTTGAGAAACATGGGACTAAGGGAGGACTAGGGTCAGTTCCAGCAGGATCACTACATGCCAGGAACAGGTCCAGGGAGCGTGGCCCCATGGGTGGAGCAGATAGATAGTAATTTCAAACTTATTTCATGCTGTTACCCCCAGGTTCTTTTTATATTAGGCTTATGTGTGCTTGGCTTGTCTCATCTCGGCACTGTTGTTGTATGTTTCTCTTAGTGCAGATGGACGTTTTGAAGGGGCCACTACGAAAACAGTTGTCAGGTACGATGGCACCGTCACCTGGACACAACCAGCAAACTACAAAAGTTCCTGTACTATAGATGTTACATTTTTCCCATTTGATCTCCAAAATTGTTCCATGAAATTCGGCTCTTGGACATATGATGGAACCCAGGTTGATATAATCCTAGAGGACCAGGATGTGGACAGAACAGACTTTTTTGACAATGGAGAATGGGAAATCGTGAGCGCGATGGGGAGCAAAGGGAACAGAACGGACAGCTGCTGCTGGTACCCTCAAGTCACGTACTCCTTTGTGATTAAGCGGCTGCCTCTCTTCTATACCTTATTTCTTATTATTCCGTGCATCGGGCTCTCATTTCTGACTGTGGTTGTCTTCTACCTGCCTTCAAATGAGGGTGAGAAGATCAGTCTGTGCACTTCAGTGCTTGTGTCTCTCACTGTCTTCCTTCTGGTTATTGAAGAGATCATACCCTCATCTTCCAAAGTCATACCTCTGATTGGAGAGTATTTGGTATTCACCATGATTTTCGTGACATTGTCCATCATGGTGACTGTCTTTGCCATCAACATCCACCATCGCTCTTCCTCAACACACAATGCGATGGCTCCATGGGTCCGTAAGATATTTCTTCACAAGCTTCCCAAACTGCTCTGCATGAGGAGTCATGCGGACAGGTACTTCACGCAGAGAAGAGAAGCCGAGAGCGGCAGTGGACCCAAGTCTAGGAACACTTTGGAGGCTGCGCTGGATTGTGTCCGCTACATCACGAGGCACGTCACGAAGGAGAATGACGTCCGCGAGGTCTGTGGCAAGTATTGAATTTGTTCCCATAGAAACCCCTGCCAGTTGGGGCATCTACACAAATCTTTCCATTTCCCCAGAGCATCTTCACGGACTCTGAAGAAAACTGAGCAGTATGTATTTGAAGGGATATTAATATCGCCATAGTTCTCTAGCTCTAGAATAATTTACTGACTTAGATTTTATCCTCCAGGACTTTGTTTCTGACTTTTGACATTATAATTTATCAAAATTATTATTTTTTTTAATTAATGAGCCTAATGTAGGCCTTACAAGTACAACCAATAGCACTCAGGCAGGCAGAGGCAGGTGTATCTTTGTGAGTTTGTGGCCTGCCTGGTCTACAAAGTGAGTCCAGGACAGCCAAAAATACACAGAGAAACCCTACCTCAAAAGAAAAAAAAAAAGTACAACCAAGATACTTTTCTAGAAAAACATCTTTTAGTAAAATCGAAAAGAGTGAGATGCTTGTCTATAATCCTGCCATTCGGAGGCTGAGGCAGGAGAACTGAAAGAGTCTTTCTAGGGTTCAAGGTCAGCATGGGCTGCATAAGGAGACCATGTCTCCTAAAAGCAAAATGAAATAAATAACCATAAAAATAAAGAAAAGGAGTAAGGTATTCTCATGTGTTCTGTTTATACTTCAAAATTTTCATATGAAGCAGTATTAGTACCTGATCTGCTTACAACAAAATTTGCTTAAACACTTACACAAAAATAAGTTTGATTGTTGAGGTTAATTGGTAGTTGAAATGCAAAAATTGGACATGTGTTTTACCAATTTATAGTGTTAAACTTTAAAATCCAAATTTTCGATTGTCAGTGTTTTTTATTTTTATTATAATATCTTTAAAGTTATGACTACTAATATTTTTATAACAGAATTTATATTTAATGGTTCCATTAAGACTGTAAATTCTAATTTTTGGCTAATATTTGACATATTCCTGCTTCTTCCTTCCTCTCTTTCATCTTTTCTTTTTTTTTTTTTTTTTTTTTTTGAGACCCTTACTTTATAGCAGTGGCTAGCCTGGAACTTGATATGTAGACTAGACTGGCTTCAAACTCACAGAAATTCACCTTTTGGGATTAAAGGCATGTACCATTATGCCAAAGCCCCCACCCCAGAGCCCCACTTTTTAGTTTTTTTGTTTGTTTGTTTGTTTGTTTTTGTTTTTGAAGATAATGTCCTATGTAGCTCCGGTGAGCCTTGAACTGTCAACCCTTTTACTTCAGCCTCCTGGAGGCCAGGATTACAGCAAACATCACCATGTCCAACTCTGAATCAACTCTTTGTTGCTGTTTTGAGGTGCTGGGCATGAACTTGTGGTCCACCTGCTTCAGTTTTCCAAGTAGCTAGTACTCCATGTACCTACCACTGTGCCCAGTTTATTTCTGACAAACTAATGCTGTTCACTGTAGCATTCTGCAGTAGCAGAATTAGATTATTTCAAGGGTTTAAACTATTTATGGCATCTTAAAAGGTAAGAATATTTGCTAGCTAATGATTTAGAACTTAATGAATTTAAATTCTAAGTTTAAATTTAGAGTGGAATTTAATAAATTATACTAGTCTGTCTCAGAGACCTGGACAGAGGCCCATTTACACTGTGGAGACAGCAAAGGATTATCTCTAACTGTGCTTTTTATCTTAAAATATACATACAGCTGCCAGGCGGTGGTGCTGCACACGCCTTTAATCCCAGCACTCAGGAGCAGTGGCAAGTGGATTTCTGTGAGTTCAAGGCCAACCTGGCCTTCAGCGTGAGTTCCAGGACAACCAAGGGCTACACAGAGAAACCCTGTCTCAAAAAACCAAAACAACCCAAAATGTAGACAGCTTTGATATGTATGTTTAATTTTTTTTACAGGTTGTTGAAGATTGGAAATTCATAGCCCAAGTTCTTGATCGGATGTTTCTGTGGACCTTTCTTCTGGTTTCAGTCGTTGGGACTCTAGGACTTTTTGTTCCTGTTATTTATAAATGGGCCAATATAATAGTCCCAGTTCACATTGGAAATACAATTAAGTGAAACAAGAAGCCACACTATGAATTTAGTTAGTTGTCATGCATCTCTTAGGGCACGTATACAATTATGGAAATTTGAAATTATTTAGAATTTGATATAGGCTGTAACAGATTAGTGATTTCTAACATTGACTCAATATTGCCCATTAGAGCTTAAGTCTTAGCTGCAAGTGGTAAGAAAGCATTGCCCGCCTGCACTAGCAGAGGCCTAGCGTCCGCATCCTGGCAGATCCTGCTAACTTACAATTAATGATGAAGTTCATCTTTGGAGTGCTAGAAAATGCAACTATATCTGAAGACTGTTTAAAACTTTTTCCAAATTTAGTAAAAGCCTATCTTTGTGTGGTTTTGAAGTTTTAGAATGGGTCTAGTTAAATTGCCTACACTGGCCCCAAACCGCCTTAGTAGCCAGGACTACAGGTGTGCTCTGCGATGCCCAGCTAATATATACTTTACAATTCCCCCTGTCCTGTATTCACAGATGTATAATACAGTATACTTCTATATGAAGAAGGCCAGTTACTTGGTTTAATAATAACTTAACGTCAGTTAGTGTTCTACAGCTGTGAAGAGACACAATGACCATGGCAACTATAAAGGACATTTAATTGGGACTGGCTTATAGGTTCAGAGGTTTAGTCCTTTATCATCATGGTAGGAAGCATGGCAGCACACACAGGCAGACATGGTGCCGGAGGAGCCAAGAGTTCTCTACATCTGGATGCCAGGCAGAAAGAAGAGGGAGTGAGCCACTGGGTGTTGAGCTTCTGAAACCTCAAAGCCCACCCCCAGTGACACACTTCCTCCTAGAAGGTCAGACCTCCTAATAGTGCCTCTTCCTGGTGATCAAGCATTCAAATCTATGAGTCTATGAGAGCCATTCCTATTTGAACTACCACACTTGAACACACACACACACATTTGTTTTTGAGACAGGGTTTCTCTGTTTAGCCCTTGCTGTCCTGGAACTCACTCTATAGAAGAGGCTGGCCTCAAACTCAGATATACATGAGTGCTGGGATTAAAGGCATGTGCCACCACCGGCCAGTTTACCAACATTTTAAATAAGCTAACATGGTGACTAGTAGCTCTTAAGTCCACTTTATTCTTTGTGTTTATATGGAATGGAGTCTGTGTTAGCTGGGTTATAGCTTATCTTCCACTGTAAACATACAACAGGCCACTCCTGTAGCCATACAGTGGCATATTCTTTGTGACGACTTCAGTCTCCAGGTCTACATTCTCTGTTCATCCTTAATCTCAGAATAACATGCTGCAGTCACGCAGATCCCATCTCAAAATGGGACGGCCTGTCTCTGTCTTGATAATTCTGTGGAAAAAAACATCTTCCAAACTTAAAGGTGTATTCTGAGCTGGACATGGTGCCTCACATCTCTCATCTCTACCTTCAGGAGGCAGAGGCAGGGGAATAGCTGTGAGTTCTTGGTTAGCCTAAGTTACTGTGTGAGACTCTGTTTCAAAAGCCAAACAAACAAAAATTGCTCCTCTGAGTTTCTGTAAGCACACTGTCACCTTACAGTGTTTCAGTTATCTTTCACTCCAACAGTTACAATTGTCAAATCTTAAAGCTAAATGCTTTAGGTATAATCTAGTTTTAGCCTATTCCTAGGTATGACACCAGTCAGTACAATATAGTGTATCATGAGTAAAGCAGTTAAACTTCATTGCAAGTGCCCTGACTCACCTATGACCCGGAACTTTGTATTTGATTTAGAATGCTTAGCTGTTGAGTTATTATTGCTAATCTATCAGGAGCTTAAATTCAAGTCTGCATTCTTTGGAAGGCAGGATGCGTTTTATTTTATTATGTTTACTGTTGTTGGAGTGGAAGTCTGCACTGTGGTTTGGTAAATGTCCCTCATAGGCTCTTCTGTTGAAAGCCTGGTCACAGTGGCTTTGGGAGGCGCTGTGATCTTTAGGAGTAGACTCTCGTCAGGTCCCTAGGGGTGTGCCCTTGAGGAGGGTATGAGACTCTAGCTCCTCCTTTTGCTTCCCCGGCCATCATGAGGTAGGCAGCTTTGCTCTATGGTGTGTTCCCAGCATTTTATACTGTTGCCATGACCTCAAAGCGGTGGGCCGACCAGTCATGGACTAAAGCCTCTGTAACCATGGGCAACAGCAAAGCTTTCCCTTGATTGAGTTGATTAGCTCAACTATTTTCCCATGGTGAACAGAAAGCTGATAGGGTCTTAGTAGCCCAAAGGAAATCTGTGGGTGGCTTTTCCTGGGGAGTGCACTTCTAGTCCCCCGAGATTAAAAAAAGAAAAAAAAGGTGGGACTAGAGCAAAGAAATACTCCACCCGAGTCCAGGATGGAAAACGACTGAGTTTGCTGTTTATAGGAACACGGGGAAGGGTTTCCTACAGTGGATGACGGGGGCAGGGAATGACTGCATCACGGGAAGCTCATCCCAGCCTGGGTAACAACTTATAAACGCTGCGTCACAGGGTCCCTGTGCAGCCTGCAGGTAAAAGTGCCACACCGCCCAGGTTTCCTCTTTCCCAGTAATTGTTGGCCATTTTTATAAACTCAGGAATGAACCTGGGGAGTCTGGTACATCTCTAGTGAGTCGTGGATCTGGTGAGCTCCCTCTTTCCCCAGCAAGGAAGGTTTCAGTCAATCAGGAGGAAGCAGCTACACAGCTGGGTAGTTATTGTGACGACAAGCTAAGCGATGGGGTAGCTCCGAAGCCTTTGAAACTGAGTCTTAACAGGCTGTGAACCCTATGAACTACAATAGTGACCCACCCTTGGACAGAGGGCCAGTCTATAGAATGTTCAGGCCTAAACGGGACACAGCATTCCACACCCTTTCTTCCCCAAGGCTCAGGGACCACTTCAGAAGAGGGACAAAAAGAGCGCGAGAGCCTGAGGGGGTGGGTGACTCCAGGGAAGGTTTCTTCTGAAGGGCAGCTGCACACATGCGCTCACAGCTGCGGTGACAGCACGCGCAAAGACTTTCGCCAGCCCAAGACAGAGAAGATCTCATAAAGGGGAAAGTTGGGCGTGGAGTCCCATCTGAGTTGAGCTACTGCTGGCAGTTCCCAGCTGCTGGGAGGAGAGTCAGATCTCTCTAAGGGGGCAGGCCCTGGGAAAATGCACTCCAGAGTGAGGCCGCATAACCAAGAGTGTTTGGGCAACCCTGATTGGTCTTGATAAATGTATTTGTTTTTATTTATTTATTTGTTTGTTTGTTTTTAAAGGACACAAAGTGAATGGGTCAAGAAGGAGGGTGGATCTGGGAAGAGTACAGAGGAGGGGGTGAATATGATCAAAATATATATAAAATTCTCAACGACTTAAAGGTATATTTTTAAAGTGAAGTCAAGTACTTGACACCAGAATTATTCAGACTTCCGCCGGTTGTAGGCTAAAAGGACTCAGACATTTTTCCTGGAGAGACCCAGGACAGCCTCCTTTCACTGGGCAATCTAGAAAACGTTGCCCCGAAGCTCCTCCCTCATATTCAGACACTCAGACGCGACTGCAGCCTGCGGTCAGGTGAGCCCTGTCCAGCTTGTGCTGGTGACAGACCTCGGCGCCATCCGCATAAGGCCGGTTTTACAGCCGCGCAAAATGAGTGGAGTTCGGAGTCCTGCAAGTTTCCACAGAGATTTCAGAAGTCAGCAGCTCTCAAGCTGGCAACGTGTTGGAAACACGAAAGTGACGCCGAGCCTGTGACGGAGACCCCAGCAAGCCAGAGGTGGCGGAACTGTGGAGTACCGGCCAAGGGAAAGCTGCAGGAGGTGAGTACAGCCAGCCCCAGAGTGTGCGCACAGGGCCACAGTCGGCGCGCGCGCGCGCAGGGCTGCCTGGGCCGGCAGGATGTCATACTCCCGCTGTGTCACACGCCTGTGCTCTGATCCTTTGCTTTGGTCTGATCCTTTCTATACATCTGGGCTCCTTTGTGGAGCAGGAATGTTGACCTCCTGTCATTGTATCCTGGGCATTTATAACCTTTTTACTTTTTACAGCCTCTCAGCTGAGTCTCGAAGGATACTTTTGACCTGGACTACCAAACTATTCTGAAGAACTTAAGACTTTGGGAACTCCTGCAAAAACAACCTATGAACTGGACTAGCCTTTGGGGACCAGAGACAGAATGCTGAATTCTGAGTAAGTGCCAAAGGCCAGCCTGTTGGTGCTACACGGTGGGTGCGGACCTCAGGAGGAAAGGAGCTCTGTCCTGTGAGTGCGTCCTTCACGGAGATGCTAGGAGCCTGGCTTCATCCCTGTTCTCTGCTTCCAGCCTCACCATGATGTACTGTCTCGTCATACACCCAAAAGCATCAGGCCAAGTGAGTGACTGTGGACTGAAACCAGGAGCCCAAATAACCATTTCCCCTTCTTAAGTTTGTTATCTCGGGTGTTTTGCTATGGAGGGAGCACTAATAAAGCCTAGTTTAATGTGGATTGCTTGCTAGCTAATTTAGTCTGTATATGTCCTTCATCTCTTATATCTCTACTACTCTTGAGACATTTGTAGGCCAACAAATTTCACAGAACTCTTTCTTTTGACTCAGTGAAATATGAGCCACAGTGAATTGCAATTTTCAGGTTTTATTTTCATATAGAGAAAAATACACACACACATACACCAGCTAGCAAGAATACTTAAATGGTTCAGATCCAGAAGTGTAATATGGAAACCCAATTTGTTCAAATAGCTTCTCAGGCAGAGCCAATTTTGACAATGTCCTTCTACATCCTGGGTGTCCTGACAGCCAAGACAAGCAGGCTGGCTACTGGCATCCAGTGGGCAGAAACCACAGGGCTGTTGAGTCTACACCTCACATCCCAGCACAACTCTGGAGCCCAAACCCTAGAGTGAAGGTGGTGAAGCCCAACTCTGATGGTTCATCCTGTGGTCTGAATGGCTCCCTACAGCTCATGTGTGAGGCTACCATGCAATACTGTTTGGGAAGTTATTAGGTCATGAGGTCACACCCTGATGAATGGAATTGGTGCTCTTGTAAAAGACTCCAGAAAGACTAGCCCTTTCAGCCACTTAAAGATACACTGGAAGGTATGTTTTATGTGGAAAATTCCTCCCCAGACAGTCTTGCTGGCACCTTGATCCTAGGCTTCTCAGGCTTGTAAACTATGAGAACTTTGTGTATAGGTTTTCCAGTTTGGGATTTTTGTTGTTTTGAGATATGTAGCCCTGGCTGGTCGGGAACTCACTATCTAGACCACACTGGCCCCGAATTCACAGAGATCCCGCCTGCCTCTGACTCTGCTTCCTGCTGCTGGGATTAAAGTCTTGCAGGGATCTATGGGATGTTATTCTAAATTAGCCACTTGAGCAGACTAGGGTAGTTTACTAACAGTGTGAGATCGGGTGTAATTTCTCAGGGTATGATAATGAGGGATGTAGCCTTGACACAAGTACTGAGACACAAGTGCAGCCCTTGGACTTGGGAAAGACGGTGAGAAAGAAGTGGTGGTGGGGTATGACTGAGATGCTCTACAATTTCAAGGAGGTTGTGGGCTAAACCAATGAGGAGATCCACAGAGCGACTGAGCTAGTGGACGGAATCTTTGTGAATAGAAAGTTTTCCTCTCTAGTGAAGCTTCAACCACAAGGCTAGTTAAATGTTCATTTATGCATAATAAATAACTAGATGTTTTTCTTCCACATTTTTTTTTTAACCAAAAGTCAAGGTGAGTTGAAAATAACTGCTGAAATAGCAAACTCAGAGCTGGTGATTGGATAAAGCATGGTGCTGTTGAGAATATGCCTGCGCCTCAGCACAGGTGAGCCTCCGTGAACATGGGTCACAATTTATGTGTCATCTCTGGCCATCAAAGGTTGAAGAAATAATCCTGCCGTTCCTAAAATGCACACCAGGATGAAAACCCAGAGAAAGATGCGGTCAATCACCATGGCAACATACTTCCAGTCATCTTGAATCTGGAAAACAAAAAACAATGAAAGAAAACAGAACATGAAAGAAAGGTCAGTTTTCAGCATTTGATCATGTTATGGTAGAGGAGGCATTTTATTTCTTATATAAGAAATCTTTTTTTTCCTTATTGATATGATCTGAGGAAATCCATGGGGTGGGTAATACTGACTGTCTACTTGACAGGATCTAGGATCTCCTGGGAGACCAGCCCCTGGGTGCGCTCATGAGGGATTATCTAATGAGGTTAGCTTCTGGAGGTGACGATGAGGGACTCTCTGGAGCAGAATAATAAAGGTGGAAAGGCACAGCTTAACTGTGGGGGGCCTCATTCTGTGTGCTAGGGCCCTAGATGGAATACAAATGAGAGAGTAAATTGAACTGTGGTAGTCATCTCTGCTTCATGGCTACGGATGCAGAGTGACCCAGTGCCTCAAGGTCCTGCCACCATGGCTTCTCCACAAGATGGACCATTTTCCCCGGAGCGGAAGCCCACATAAACACTCACTTGAGCTGCTGTTTTTCAGGCGTGTGGGCACAGCAATCAGAAGAGCACTAATGTATCTACCAACCTCAAATTTCATGTCGTGAAGACACAGATGGAAAATATGTGCCCGCTGGCTCTGTTTCTAATGAGAATACATTCTTCTTTCAAGGCAAGGCCTGGTCTTCATGGCTACACAGTTTAGGTTGGCTTTTAATTATCAATCACCCTGAGGGCTAGAATTCCAGGTGTGTACCACCACCCAGAAATGTTTGTGTGTGTGTAACCTATTTTTTCTAAACCGAATTCCAATATGTAAAGTTATTAATGCTTGTATGCCTCTACAGGACCCGGAGCCGTTGTTAGAGTAGTGACTACAGTCCGACATCATCCGACATTGTTTCAAAGTACTTGTTCGTTGGCACTGATACTTGTTTTAGATACTAATTTCCATTTAACATCTGTTCCAAAAGTGAAATAAGCATATTGGGTGAGCCTGACATTTTCCTTTCTCCCCACTCCCTTTAAGATGCCCTCCTAACCAACTGTCATCTTCATCTTCAGAGCCAAACAGGCCAAACAGCAGACATAATGGCCAACTGTAGAGCAAAAGATGGGAGGAAGAGCAAGAACAATTGTATATAATGAGCTTCAATTCAGGCTTGAGACAGGAAGGAGAATCTAAGGTAATTAAACTTCCAGACAATTCAGAAAGCAAGGAAACCACAATTGAGTTGAGAGAGAGCCCATGAGTCAACTGATCTTGAGGCAATAATCACATAATGAACAAAGCAGCATGTAATTTTGTAATTCAATTAAGTACACTGAAATGGGACTGGGAGATGTAGTTTTTATTTCAGCATTATACGCTTGAGTAAATGCGTCCTTTCAGTGACACCACGAAGTCGCAGTCACGGTCAAGTTAGAATCACAATGCCGTGTTTGAAGTGCTAGTCTGTTTGAGTTCCTAAGACTTGTCTGTGAGCACTTGGAGTCCACAGCCTGAGCCTTACCCATCCCTCTATAGGATAAATAATACCCCCAAGACTAGGAGGCAGTGGGTGGAAAACAGGTGGAGACAAACTTTGGTTTTAATCCAGCTCTGCTCCTTCCTAGGAACAAGAATCTGATTAACTTCATGTCCTTCAGTCTCAATGTCCTCATCTGGAAAATGGGGACAAAGGCAGTGTAGTTTCAGAAGGCTGCCTCAGCAGACTCCCGAATGAATGAGACTTTTAATATCAATGTTGCTTCAAGAAATGGCCCTTATCCCTGCCTAAATCTGAGACTGGATACATGGCATGGGCCTGGGACCCCTCTACCAAGGGAGCTGAAACAATACAATTGTGAGTTCAAGGCCAGCCTGGACTACAAGTGAGGTCACTAACATAAACAAGGGCATATCCACTAACTGGTCTCAACATAGCTTCTGACTCAAGAGTCTAATTGCTCTCTCCTCCCTCCCCTTCTCCCTCCCTCCCTCTGTGTGTGTGTGTGTGGGGGGACTCATGCCTGTGGTTAGCTGAGGAGGACAAAGGAGGGTATTAGATCCCTGGAGCTAGAGTTATGGACATTGTGGATTATCTGGTGTGGGTGTTAGAAGCCAGGCCTGTTTTCTCCCTCCCCAGGAGAGCAGTGAGTGCTCTTAACTGCACGGAAATCCCGCCAGCCCCTCAGAGCCGAGTTTCCTGACCCCTGTCACCGCACACAGAAGCCATCATAAAAGCCCTGTTTACCTCTTTGGCCATGTTCTGTGCTTTCATGTTTTCAGCAATATACTTCACACTTTGGATGGCTTCCTTGATTTCTGGTGACAGAGCAGAGAGGGACAACACAGCATCGAGAGACTCCGAACTGGAGCTTCTTGTGAGGTTGGCACTGAAATTTGAGATTTTCACCCTCCGGTGGTGGCAGTAGCCACACGCCCCATCTTGGCAGGGGTAGCCTTCCTTGCAGCTCTTGGAGTCTGCCCGGCTGAAGCAGTTCAGGTTTGAGAGCTCTGCACTGTAGAAGGCCCTGGGCTTCAGAGCGTCTCCCTCGCTGCCGGTCGGCCTGGTCATGAACATGACCCTGGGCAGCAGGTTGAGGAACACAGCCTTGACCCAAGCGGGCATCGTGTGCGTGGTGGGAGTTCTGTAGTGCACGTTGAGCACGAAGACGGTGACGACGATGGACAAGGTGACGAAGATCATGGTGAAGAGGAGGTACTCCCCGATCAGCGGGATGACCAGCGAGGTGGAAGGGATGGTCTCGGTGATGACGAGGAGAAAGACGGTGAGGGAGAGGAGCACGGAGATGCAGAGCGTCACCTTCTCGCCGCAGTCGGAGGGCAGGTAGAAGACGAGCACGGTGAGGAAGGAGATGAGCAGGCAGGGGATGATGAGGTTGATGGTGTAGAAGAGCGGCAGGCGGCGGATGTACAGCGAGTACGTGACGTCCTGGTAGATCTCCTCGCAGCAGTTGTACTTGATCTCGTGTTTGTAGCCCGGGGCCTTAATGATGGCCCACTCGCCGCTTTCCCAGTAGTCCTTGAGGTTCATTGAGGAGCCAATGAGGACCAGGTCGATCTTCGCCTTGTCATAGGACCAGGAGCCGAACTTCATGGTGCAGTTTTGGTAGTCAAACGGGAAGTAGGTCACATCGATTTTGCACGAGCTCTTGAAGATGGCTGGAGGAATCCAAGTCACTTCTCCTGTGTACTTGAGTAGAGCTTTGGTCTTGTCATCCACCTGGAAATCGCCATCGGCGCTGTGAAGACACAGTGGGGCACACAGCTCACCGCCACCACTCTATAGCCAGCCAGCTGGCTTCCCAGGCTGCCACAGGGTGATAAGCGATGATTTATGAAACCAGCAGACAGGAGAGATCAAAGGACCGGAAGAGCCCCTGGGCCAGCCGCCCATTCTCCAGCGGAGATAACTGAGGCGAGTCCTCCCCCCCCCCCCTCAGCAATGTTCCACCACATTGGTTATCCAACCCCACCTCTCCTAGCACACTTGCCAGGCCTACCCCTGCTTCTGCCAGTCCGACCTCCCCGTCACACACTCTGCCACGCTGCTCGTGTCTCCAGGACATTTCACAGCTCACGATTCTCAGATGTTAATATGGACTCCTAAGTTCCAAAAATGCCCCCCCCCCCGAATTTGCAATAATGAGATGAATAGTCCTGGGGTTGGGCATTTCAGCAGCCTCTGGGAATGTTAGGCAGGTCCTTGTTAGTATCTTTAACCAGTCCCCGCTGGGGGCCTGACACACGTGTGTAAACCCGCTGTAAGGGTGTCATGGATCAGCCACAGGTGCTTATGCTGTGAAACTAACCCCTGCAAGGAAGCGCATCTCCTCCACCAGACCCCAACCCCACCCCTGCCCGCCTTTCCTCCCAACGCTGTTCTCCAACAAAAAGAGCTTTTCTGATTTCATTGAACACTTTCAAGACAAACTCATCCAGCAGATCTCTCCACTTTCCTCCCTATCCGCTGCCGCTTACTCCCCGTGTTTCTACTCTCCCTTAGCCGTAAGCACCTGATTTTATTACCCACATGTCGTTTTCTTAGGATCACCCTGTTAATGTTTATAACCTGACTTAGTGACAGAAGCGCTGACCAGAAGCTCAGTACCCCGAAGAGCTTGTATTCAGCATTCCATCTCAGTGGCCAAGAGACTTCAGCTGACATCAAAGCCACTCGGTTCTCACAAGTGCAGGGACTCTTTCTTTGTAGATAAGGACATGCTACTGTAGCTCAGGCTAGATCCAGACTCACGGTCCTTCCGCCTTAGCCTCCCCAGGGCTGAGAGTACAGGCGCGTGCCACCGTGCCTGGCTCGCTGAAGACTCTTGACATCTGGGGTCAGCTCTCTGGGTTTCTTAGCTTGCAGTGGTGTGAGGCTACTGCAGGGCATAGTTTTATGCCCCTTTGGTCTGACATGTGAAAATCTGAGAGTCAAAATCCTAAACACTTAGAGATTACCTTTTGTTGCTATTGGAAAGCAGCAATGCTCTGATTCAGATCATTCCTCCCAGCTGGTCCCTGTCCTTCCCACCCACACTGCTTCCTTTAAGCAGAACAGCTGTTATATGAGACAACTCAGTGCCTGAGCCCCTACTGGGTCTATTTCATCTGGCTCTCTCTAGTGGCTTCTGCAGTCTTTCTCTCTCTCTCTCTCTCTTTGAGACAAGGTTTCTCTGTGTAGTCCTTGCTGTCCTGGACTTACCTTGTAGACCAGGCTGGCCTCGAACTCAACATAAATCTGCCTGCCTCTGCCTCCCAAGTGCTGGGATTAAAGGTGTACCCTCCCACAGCTGGTGCTTTCCACATTTTTAACCCCTCACAGTCTTAATCCCTGATGATGCCAGAAGAAAGAAGAGGGAGGAGGGAACAGAGCTCCATACAGTCTCCAGGTGGACTCTGCTTAGATTCCATACAACCCCTCCCTCCCCACCACTGCCCCTCACCCCTCCAGCCCTGGGAGAGCTGTACAGAACCTTGAAGACTCCACAGAACACAGGGGCTTCCTGAACATGGCTTCTTGGGGCAGCCAGGCTCAACAAATGTCAGGGAAGTAAGAGACCAACCTTCAAAGCTCCAAGTCCAGGAGCTGGCGAACTATGGCCACAAACCTGCCTGCACTGGCTAGTTTTATGTCAACTCGACACAAGCTAGAATCATCAGCAAGGAAGGAGCCTCACTGAGAAACTGTCTTCATAAGATTGAGCTGCAGGCAAGCTTGTGGGGCATTTTCTTAGCTAGTGATTGATGTGGGAGGTCCCAGGCCGTTGTGAATGGGGCCATCTGTGAGCTGGTGGTCCCGGGTCCTATAAGAAAGCAGGCTGAGGAAGCTGTCAGGAGCTAGACAGTAAACATTATTTTCCCATGGTCTCTGCATCAGCTCCTGCCTCCAGGTTCCTGTCCTGATTGAGTTCCTGCCCTGACTGTTTTTTGATGATGAACTATTAAAGGGAACTGTAAGTTAAATGAACCTTGTCTTCCCCAATTTGCTTTTGGTCGGGGTATTTCATCACAGCGATAGTAACCCTAAGTAAGACACAGTCCCCCTTATTCCCATTTTTTCTTCTGTCTGTGTGTGTTTGTGTTGTGCAAATGTGTATGTATATTTGTGTGTGTGTGGAGTGACTACGTATGCAGTACACGTAGAGGCCTGAAAGTAATGTCAGGAATCATCCTCGATTGTTCCTTCAACCTTATTCACTGAGGCAGGGTCTCTCAATCAAACCCAGAGCTTACCCAGGTCATGTAATCAAACCCAGAATAACAATAAGGTTGACAGGTGACTGTAAGGAGGGCTCCCTGGCCAGCTTGCTCCGGAGAACCCCTGCATCTGCCTTCCAAGGCTGCCACATCTACCTGGCACTTACACTGTTCTGAGAAATCCAAACTCTGGTCCTCATGATTGTGCGGCAAGTGCTTTAACCACTGGGCTGTCTTCCCAGCCACTGTTCCCACAGATGTCTATTGGAACGGAGTCCCTAACATCCGTTGTCTACCGAGTGGCTGCTTTGTGCTACAAGGGCAGAGTTGAATAGCTGTGACAGGGACTGCGCCTGCTCAAATTCTAATTTTTTAAATTTTGTTTCCTCAAGACAGGGTTTCTCTGTGTAGACTTGGCTGTTCTGCACTTGCTCTGTAGACCAGGCTGGCCTTGAACTCACAGAGATCTGCCTGCCTCTGCCTCCCCAAGTGCTGGGATCACAGGCACGCAACACCGCACCCAGCTAGTTTTTAACTTTAAAAAAATTAATTATTGTTATCATTTTTACTAACTGGTCTTTTCAGGGTGTCTGGATGCCTCTGCTCCAGCCCAATTGCTTCATGTCACTGAAGAGAACACTAAAGGTTAAAGAAGAGCACTGATTTGCTCAAGGTCCACGGAGCATCTGTGGGCTGAGCCTTGGCTAGTCAGAAAAACTTCAGTCCCCAAGTAAGGGGTTAACAAAATGTTCATGCCCCCAATGAATAAGTTCCAGAGAAAGGCCAGCCCTCACCCAACTGCTCTTTCCTGTGGCCTCTGAGGGTCCTGGTCACTGTTAACCGCCATAGAAGCCCCTAGTTGTATCTGTCCTACCAGAAGTCCTGCTTGCTGTAGAGGTTGGGATAAAAAGTTGTCTGTCACTAGGAGTCACAGAACACAAGGACCCAGTCGAAGACCAAAATATGGCACAGCTTTTGCCACACGATGCACTAAATGAATGGCCAAAAACCCAAGTGCAAATCCCTAGCTACCACAATACAGAGGGAGCTGAGGAAACGGGTGGCAGCAGAGACAATCAACAGTCACAGAAGGGTCTGAGCTGTGGTACTGCCGGACCCTGTGAGTTGGTTAAAATGAGAAAAGGCAGCAGAAGTGTAAAGGATCAGCAAAGGTTCTTACACACAAGGGAAGATCATGTGTGAAAATAGAGCAAGGGTAGGGAAAAAAAATCACAACAGCAGACACTGTGAAAGCTGAAAAATGGGCAGCTAAGATGGCAGGACAAATCCACTCCCCACACCAGCAGTGAGGTTCTCAGTGTCCCACGAATGTCAGCACATGAGGGCAGAGGGCCAGAGCTTCATGAGGAGGGGCCAGGTAGGATTAGCTGCTGAATGAGGGTAACCCAGGGAGGAGAAAATGGGGACCCCATGCCCTAAGAATCAGAAATGGAAGAAATAGCCACCCCTCAAAGAAAAGGCTCATACACAGAGGCTGTGGTGTGTGTACCTATGATCCCAGCCCTGGGATACTCCACCCCCAACACAAATAAATAGTGTGGAAAGATCTTTACAGTGAGAGTACACAGGGGTACAGAGACGTCAATCAAGGCTGCGGCGGCTTTGTCAGGATCTCAGAACTCTCAACACCCCACAAAACTCCTTCAGAACCCCTTGGAAAAAAGTGCCTATGGCTGGAAAGGAGATGGGCAGAGGCAGATAAAAATCCTTTGGGTAGTCACAATAAATAGCAAGCTACGTATAAAGAACACAGCCCGTTGACTTTAGAAAAGACACTAAAGAACAAAGAAGAAAATATTTTAACCCCAGGAAGGTGTGTGTTTAGCAGCTCCTCAGTGGCTGCTCTGGTGTCCAGCTTGGAAACCTGGGACAGCCTCTGAGTCTTGTCTTTCTCCCATGACTATTCTCTCTCGAAGGGGGTGAGACAGCCATCTACTTCCATCCCTGCCTGCAGAGCTGAAAAATGGTGCCACATGTAAGCACCTCCCCCTTTGTCCAAGGTTCCCCCCACCACACACTGGGGCTGCTTCCTCACCCCACAGCGTAGCTAATGAGATCACTTCAGCCACCCATGACGTACTCTCCTGCCCGCCTGGTTCTTCCCTGCTGTTGTGCCCCTGCTCCAGATGCTATGTGACCCTCAAGGCCCACCCCAAAGCCAGTTCCTTCCAGCAGCTTCCTCTGGTGACCTTTCCCCTCCAGCCGCACATGAGTCCCTTTGGAGCCACTCAGCATCCTGCGCTCCGTGGCTCCCGGCATCTGTAGTACCCAGTGCATAAGTGAGACCCAGTGCCCTCAGAGTGAACAAGGAGAAAGATCCCTCCTGGAGAGGGCCAGGGAAGGCCAGACCGCAAGCGCAGTGAGTGGCCGGAAGACCCAGAGCCCAGACTCCCCTTACTTGTTGTAGAGCACGATGTCTGGCTTCCAGATCTTCTCTGCAGGGACGCGCATGAACTCCACCCCTTGGTAGTCAGAGGGTTTCCATTTCAGCTTGTAGTCATTCCAGATCTGGCAGGAGGAGGGAGGGAGGGAGGGAGAAGACAGTGGAAGGACCAGCCAGATTGCATCATGGTCACCGTGGTGACAGGCCACCCCTGCTTTGGGTCACTGAGCCATTTCCCTGCTGCAGACCATGTTGGCCCAAGGGAGCAACATGGGGGTATCAGGGCAGAAGCATGGGCTATGTCTGCAGGATGTCCCTGCCCTAGGATGTTAGCTGTTATGACTGGGGAGCCCAACCCTTGAGCTTAACCAGACAGGAGCCATCGATCAGCACCTTCTCTGATCGCATTAGCCAAGGCTCAGCCTTCTGGATTTCTACCAGGTCCATACATTAAGCTCCTACTCTTTACACACCGTGAATTCACTCTGCAGGCCAAGCGTAGTGACAGGAGGCTGAGCTAAGAGGCCATCCTGGGCTACGAGACCCCATCTCAAATGGAAAAAGAGACTCTTGTTTGGTGAATAAAGCATTTGTTGCATGTGAGGACTGGAGTTTGGACCCCCAGCTCCCATATAGCCCTCCCGTTTCATAACCTGAGGGAGGCAGAGATAGAATCCCTGGGGTAAGCTGGCTCCTGAGTCCAGCAGGATCGCTGGGCTCTAGTTCAGCGAGACACCTTGCTTCAATAAATGATATGGTGACAGATCAAGGAAGCTATCCTCTATCAACCTACACACACACACACACACACACACACTCACACTCTATGTGGGAGCAGAGACGTAGCCCACTTGGTAGAACACTTACCTAGACAGCACAGTTCCCTGGACTCAGTTCTAACCACCACATAAACCAGGCACGGGGCGTGCATGCACCTATAATCCAAGCACTAGGGAGGGGAAGGCTGCAGGATCTGAAGTTCCAGGTCACCCTCAGCCACACAGTGGGCCTGAAGCTGGCCTGAGATACACGAGGCTCCCCCATCTCAAAAAATAAAATAGCACCTTCTAACTTAGACGGGTTCCCCCCTTGGGATGGGGCCACCATCCACAGGACCGTAAAGGTGCTGGGTACCGAGAAGCAGAGGAAAGCAGGGTGGGGCTGTGGCCACAGAGGAAACGTGGGTGGGAAGCCCCGACCGTCTTGCCAGACTCTTTAGACAAAGGCTGCAGGGGCCGAGCGCTAGGCTGGCTGAGCTGGCAGATGGCTCACCATTAGGCTGGAGGGTCACGACGTCTCCCAAAGGATCTGGGCAAAGCCTCCCTGGGGAGGACGTGTGGGGACCAGCCTCATTGTCTCCACCTGAAGAGCACCAGTGTCCCACTCCCGTCCTACCAACAACACGACAGAATCCACCTCTGGCTTTGCAAGAGGAAGGAAGGGAGGATGTGATCTTAATTACCACCACAATTGGGGGTCTGGTTGGGGGGGCGGGTTGAGACGGCCTCACTGTGTGGTCCTGGCTGGCCTGGAACTCATTCTGTATACCAGGTTGGCTTTGAACTCACAAAGACCCACCTCCCTCTGCCTTCTGAGTGCTGGGATCACATGTTTGAGCCACCACACCCAGCCTGCTCAGTTCTACAGTGGGGATATTGAGAGAATTCTCTCTCCAGACTGTGACAGGAGGAGTCAGCCCCGGTTTTGTTCCCCAGCGACAAATCCAGCAATTGCCACCAGGGGGCAGCAGGGCACAGAGCCTGGGTACTTACTTGCTTTATCCACAGGTTGGTCTCCATGATCTGGTTTACTTCATCCTAGAAAGGCGAGACTGAAGTTGACAGGCTCCTCAGGAACCCCAGGACCACATCCTGCGGCTCCAGCACTTACCACCTTCACCAGCTGAGACATGGACACCTCGAACTGGATGACGACCGGATGGGACACGTTGGCCACAGGCCGGATGATCTCGTTGTAATCTTCGAACAGGTACTGGAACAGGCGGTGCTCGGCTTCTGAGGCACTGGCCGCTGCGGGAGGCATCCCCGTCAGTCCCCGCGGAGACGCGCCTCTCCCTTCGAGGACCTCCTGCCCACGGATCCCCGTGTGCCGGGCGCTCTGCAATCGCGGGCCCCGGGCTAGGGGTGCCCCCCGCCCCCCAGGCTCAGGAAGCACGGGACTTGCGCCAGGCCACAGCCTGCGGTTTGGAAGCCTGGGTTCACCTCGGGGAAGAATCCCAGCGAACCCCGGGAAGCTGCGCGAGCTCCGGCTAGCAGCTTAAACTCTCGGGACCGCGCTTCCGTTATCTGTCACAGTAAAGAGCACGCACGGAAGCGGTTCCAAAGTGCGAGGTAGCGCTTCGGCCGCCGGCCCGGGGCCCGTCGCTCAAGGACTGTCAGCTCGATGGGGGTCTCTTCAGATGTCACTGCCATTTCCTTAGCTCTCTCTGCCCCCTTCCCCCCCTCTTAAATCCAAGCAAAGGCTGCTTTTTCTTCTTCAGTTTCTTCGTCACATTAAGGGGGAGGCGCACGCTGCGGCGCTGGGGGCGGGGTGGCTCGGGGGGCAACCTCCAAAACTCAGTCCTCTCCTCTACCGTCCGGGTCCCGGGGATCTAACTCAGATCACCGCGCTGGGAGGCAAGCGCCTCTCCCAGGCGAGCCAGACACTTCATTTTCTTAATGAAACTCTAACCCTTCTTTACACGATAAGCTACCCAACCTTGCCATATACATAATTTATATCATTTATATCTATTACATATATGATGCACAGCCACAACCCGCCTCTCCTCCCCCGCTCCCTGGAACCACGTGCCCTGCCCGCCCTCAGGGGACGCAGCTCGGCAGCTCCGTTTCTGCCTTATCCACCAGCCATCCCGGGGCTCTGGAAGGGTTTCCTCCTAACAGGCTCCTCCAGAGCCTCCACGACAGACTGGGGGGAGCGATCACGTCGAAGGAGACCCCATGACCAGGATCAGAGGCTCGCCTGGTCCAGCCCCATCTCCAAAAGGACTCGGTTCTCCTCCGGGAGGCTTTAGACAAACCTTTAGCCTTCTTAGGCTCCACGGTCCATAACAAACAAACAAACAAACAAACAAACAAACAAACGCTGGGCGGGCGGGAGACAGATGCAGGAAGCGGGGTTGCAGGTCCCTGCAGCAGGACCGAGACTCGAACCTCTGTCTCCCGAGCGGAACCGGAGGGGCCTCGCTCCGAGCCTCAGCTAACTGGCCGGCTTGGGAACAAAGGAGTGGCCAAGGGGCTCGGCGAGGCAGGGCCCGGGATGCGCGCGCACGGGCAGACCGGCGGGACCACGCCGGGAGCCAAGGCGGGTGGGCGCGTGACGGCCGAGCCGGAGGCCGGGGTCGGGCTGCCGCACCGCACAGGCCACCCCGCCGCCCGCCCCGCGCGCTCCCCGCGCCTACCTGGCGGCAGCAGCAGCAGCAGCAGCAGCAGCAGCAGCGTGGACAGCCGCGCGGCGCCCATGTCCGGAGAGCGCGCGGCCAGGGCGGGAGCCGCTCGGACGGGGACCGCGGGGCTCCTGCCGGCTCCGCGCCCGACTGCGCGAACCCCGGGCGCCCCCAGCAGCCGCGGGGCGGGGAGGCCGAGGCGGGAGCTGCGCCCGCCGTGGGAGGGGCGTCGGGCCGCGGGCTCCTGCGCCGCCGCCTTCCCCGGACCGCCCTGAGCCTGCGAGCCTCCAGGCTCCGGACCAGACGGGAGCAGGGTCGTCATCACGGCGGGGAGAAAGGGCCTGGCGAGGGCCTCCCTGCTCGCGCGCGCGGCGCAGCTCAGAAGGGGAAAGGTGGTGCTCTTCAAAATAACTATTTTCAGCGTGGTAGTGGAGTGTGCACATACACACACATACACACACACAGCACACAGTTAAGAGAGAACAGAATGGGTTGCAGTCAAAACAGTAATGACGATGAGTTTTTCATGGTGGAGACCAGGTGATGACATCTGGGAGGTTTTATAATATTTTCTCTGCTTTATTCAGGCTGTGCTAGAAATGCTCCTTAAAAAAACATAGAGCAGTCCGGGCGAGTACAGCTCAGCAGCGGAGGGCCTGCCTGGCGGACCCAAGGCCCAGGTTTTCATGCCCAGCACAGCCAGTAAACACAATAAATAAGGCTGAAACAATTACAGTCTCTGGCTTCGCACACTGACCCCTGCAATCCCTCCATTGTCTCTCTGACATCCTCACGACTGTTTGTCTCGGGAAAAGGCAGTGACAGCATAGGTGTCCCTGGGTCCCTTGACCTCTCTGGCCACCCACTGGGGGTGGCTTGGCCCTTGGAGGCTTCCATGATGGCTATTAGGGATCTTGTAAGGGTGATGGAACAGTACCAAGCTGGATCTGGTGATGAATGAACCTAAGCTCACGGAACTGCCCACCGCAAAAATGAGTGCAAGTTAGACTTCAATAAACGTTTTCATTGGAAAGAGATTTCTGTTTATTGTGTGTGTGCGTGTGTGAACGAGCACACACATGAAAGCCGGAGGGCAACTTTATGGAGCCAGTTGTCTCCTCACATCTTTAAAAGGGTTCCAGGGTTTGTGCAGGCTTGAGAGGCAGGTGCCTCCACTCGGCGGAAAGAAGCCTACGATTCCGCCCCGTAGGCTTCCATGCGGGCCCCAGGCTTGAGCATGCTCAGCTGGAGTGGCAAAGAGCTAAGGGGCAGCCAGGACTAGGTGTGCGGGAACGGGACTATTCAGAATAGCACAGTCTGAGTGACACATCTTTCGTCTGTCCTGGTGTCAATGATGCTTCTACAAATGTATACTTATGTTGAAGTGTTAAAAAAAAAGTCAACTTTATTGTATGATAAATTTAAAAACAAAGTTCTTTAAAATAGTCTCCTTCAGGGGCTGAAGACTCAGCAGTCAACAGCACTGGCTGCTCTTCCAGGGGACCCAGGTTTGGTTCCCACCATATACATGGGGGCTCACATCTGTCACTTCCAGGGACTCCAGTGCCCTTTCCTGGCCTCTGAGGGTACCAGGCATGCGCGCAGTGCACACACAAAGAGAAGGCAAAGCAGCCATACACACAGAATAATGTTTTTTAAAAAGTTAAATATTCTCCTTAATTGCAGAAATATCTTGAGTGTCAGCAAGGGGGCAGGTTCTGTGAAAGCAATGGATCACTGTGTGTGAAAGAGACAGGCCCAAACCGACCATGACCTGAAGGCAGAAAGCCGCCAGAGTTGTGGTGCCCCAGAGAAGTCCACTCTTTCTAGAGGTTGGGGACCAAGGACAGCTCCTCAGAGGGCGCACCAGCGTCTGAGGGAGAGTAGGAGCCCTTCATTCAACCAACATTTATTTTGCAACTTCTGAGCTCAGAGCTCTGTCCCACGCTCTAGAGTGAATGTGAACTCACACACCCCAGCCCTGTGGAACACACACTCCCACGGGCAAGGTGCGGTGACTGGTGTGTTGCCAACTAAGAATGGTGGGTACTGACAGGGAGCACTCAAGGAAGCTGGAGGTTTAATGCGGTTATGGAACGTGATGAGGGAAGGCCTCTACAGGGAAGTAACATTGGAGCAGAGGATCACGGGAGTAGAGCCCTGATTAGTACAGCTATGTGAAACGCTTGGGAAGACTCTGAGGTTTGGGCAGGAGCTACAGCAGAGATAAAGAGAATCTGGGAGAATCTGCAAATGTGGAGAAATGAAAGAAGACCCAGGAATCTAGTGGGTAGCGGGGGTTGGAGGGAGATGATGGAAAGACAGGCCGGGGTATGATGGCATGATATACCATCCGTGATATACAAGCAGCACAGCAGCTGCTGCTTGTATGACTGACTCCAGTGCCTGGCACACGGGAAGAAGGAGGCCAGGCTGGACTTTGGAGACCTGATCCCCCCCACTCCCTTCAGGGGCTTCCTTGAAGGCATTCAGAAGTGCAAGCCACCTCTCTCTGTGTCCGTCTCATGGCTGTGGCTGGTTTGCTAGGTTGACTGCTAACGGTCACATCTTTACTTAGGGCCTCGCTGGCTGTGACCCAGAGGAAGCAGTAAACTGCCCACGTGGCTGCTCATGTCATCTCACTACCACCCAGGGGCCCGTGGCATGCTGGGTAGCCTAGGAGCCCTTGGAAGGCACGTGGACCTGGAAGAGGGGAGGTAGGAAGAGCCCCATGGTGCCGAGAATGCACACAAACACGAACACCCACAGGAACAGGCGGTCGACCACCATGGCGACGAATTTCCAGTCCTCGATGACCTGCACACAAACAGGGGCTGGTTACAGGCGCCAAGTGCAAAGTGGCTCCTCCCTCTGAACCACGCCCTCGCCTGCTCACCAAGACCTCGCCAGCCATGTGGGGGCTTAGGACTATGCGTTGGCGTGGCAGGACCTGAATCCCGGGATGGCCTCCACCGGCCTGCTCTCGGTGTTCTCCCACTCCATATGACCTGACCAGGGTTGGGGGAGGGAGTGGCAAAGCCACGGGAACTTGGGCTGTACCGTTGTTCCCCAGTCTCCCTTGGATCCTCTATGAGCACCCAAACTCTGCTGCTGCTCAAGATCTCAGGGAAAGAGGGCCTGTATTTGCACATGACCCGTATGTCCTAGATAGCTTTGGTCAACTCGACACAAGCTGGAGTCCTCAGGAAAGAGGGAACCTCCCTGAGAAAACGCCTCTATCTTATTCGTCTGTATGCCATTTTCTTGGTTGATGATTGATGGGGGAGGGCACAGCCTGCTCCAGGTACTGCCACTCCTGGTCAGGGGTCCTGGGTTGTAAAAGAAAGCAGACCAAGACAGCCATGAGGAGCAGGCCAGTGAACAGTGTTTCTCTGAGGCCTCCTGCCTGGAGTTCTGACCATGGCTTCCCTCAATGAACCATGACTCAGAAGATATAAGCTAAATGTTGTATACCAAATTGCTTTTGGTCATGGAGTTGAGCACAGCCAACAGAAACCTAAGACATCATGCAATCCTCCCCTGGGTTTACAGTGTCTATAGACCCTGGGAATACCCAGCACAATGTAAATGCTATCTAAGTGGTCAATGGGTTGTATTTGGGGGTCTAATGACAGGGAGGGAAATACACGCCAATGCGGACACCTTTCTACCCACTGTTTTACCCACAATTGGTTGAATCCACGTGTGCAGAAACAGAGGCCCAAATTTACCACACCTGGTAATCCTAAAGCCAAATCTGGTTACGGGTGAGGGAGGTTGAGGTTTGGGGATCACAAGGCTCTTTCCCCTCATTTTTGCCCCACAGCCTCTGACCACTGTAGCTCTGCGTGGAGGGAGATGGAAGGCCCCCTGCTTGACAGGAGCTTGCCGAAGAGCTGGGAACCCCAGCGGTTTAATCAGTGCCAGTCTAGTCACAGCAGCGCCTGCTGTTTTCTATAACCAAGGCTCCACCTCCTCTGGCCTTGTCATCTGGCTCTCTGGCATTCCCACTCGGTTGCTCTGCACTTGCTCATCTTCTCAGACCCAGCCATGGGGTGTGGCACTAGCAGAAACCTGGCTGGCCTCCCGGGTACCACTGTAGACATGCCTGCCTCCTTGGTGCTAACAAGAGATCCTCAGGAAGTGGCCAAGTGGCCAGCACCCCAGCCTCCTCCCCCACCCCCTAGCTGGGAAGGCTCGGCAAAGACTTAGGAGTTAGAAATGCAGGCAGCAACTGGCAAACTGACGTCAGTGACCCAATTTTCGAGGGCCCCATGATGGAGTGCATCAGCCCAACCTCCCCCACCCCAAACACCAATTGCTCCTGCTCCTAAGAGCCAGAAGGCACCACAGGCTCACCATGCCGTGATATTAGGGTTGGGGGACTCATTTTGGCAGCCTTAATTTCAAGCATATTTCTATCTTTTCATATTTTTGTGCCACGTACAGTGATGGCCAGTTAGTCACCACGAGGACAAAAGTGTTGTAGAGGGAAACAGCTCCTGGGGTGGCTTAGGCGTGGGCTGGCCAAGAGAGGGAAAACACACTTCTCTAACTACATATCAGTCAATTAGCCAATAAGCGCCTCCTATGCTCAGTACAGGGCAAGGCCCTCAGAGGGGTCCTGCAGTTTAAAGATTGCTGCTGAGTGCCAGCTGTGTGACCCCCGACAAGTCAGAGCACGTCTCTGGGCCTCAGTTTCCCATTGTGAAATAAGGGCTCTTGAAAAAGCCACGTCCCAGGATTCCTGGAAGATCTGGGGTTGTTTGCTTACTTCTGCCAGAGCACCTGGCATTAGTTTGGCATTACAGGAGCAGGTGGTTTTAATACCACTGAGTCCTGCCTGCCTCCTTCCCTCCTGGGGCTTGTTGCTAGCTCAAGCAAGGGTACAGGAGAGTGGCGCTTCTCAACCTGCGTGTGCACGGAAATCCACAGGAATTTAAGGGTGGCTCCCAAGCTTCCTCCAGAAACCCCGACTCAGTTGAAGATGTAGTTCTAGCACTGGGAAGGTGGATGCAGAAAGATCAGAGTCCAAGGTCAAGTTCTGGGCATGTGGCTTAGGGAGAGGGATTTTGCATAGCATGGATGAAGCCATGGGTTTGACCCCCTGCAGCACAATAAAAGCTAAGTGGTGGGGCATGCCTGAAATGCCCCATTGGGGCATTGGGGAGGCGCAGGTAGGAGGAGGAGTTTACGGCCATCCTCAACTACACAGTGAGTTTGAGGCCATCCTGGGCTGCATGAAACATGATCTCAAAGAAAGAAAAGAAAAGAAAAGAGAAAAGAAAAGAAAAGCATTAGCACTTTTGTGTGTTTTGACTGATGGGGTGAAAGACAACAAGAATAGATGAAAATGTGCAAGCCAGAACTCATGATTAGCACAAATGTTGAAACATACAAGAAGCAATATGATGCACAAGACAGCTCAGAGTGACAATGGTGTTGATGAGGCTAGTTCTTTCTTTCTTTCTTTCTTTCTTTCTTTCTTTCTTTTTTTTTTTTCTCAAAACAGGGTTTCTCTGTGTAGCCTTGGCTGTCCTGGCTTTGTAGACCAGGCTGGCCTTGAACTCACAGAGATTCACCTGCCTCTGCCTGCTGAGTGCTGGGATTACCAGTGCACCCAGCTGGTGAGGCCAGTTCTAAGAGTAAAAAAATTGATAATATATTTTTAACGTTCCAGGTCACCATCAGCTATGTAGGGAGTTCAAGCCCAGCCTAAGCTACAAAGAGATGAGGGAGGGAAGGGGGAAATTGAATGAAAGAAACAGCATGATCAAAAACAACAGAGCTGTGCTTCTGACTGCGATGGACCTAGGAGGTCCCAGGGATCTGGTTCAAATTCCGAGATGGGGGCCTGGGAGGAATCTTTGAGTCTAATAAGCCCCTGTGGAGGCTGATGCTACTGGGAGTAGCAGGCCAGTGCCGCCCAGGCCCTACATTCCTTTCTTACATTCCTCTCCCGTTCTTTTCTCCTCAGTGTGATTCTGGAACTTTGCACCCAGGGCTTTTTAGCTGGTGCTAACTAATGGAATGCCAGCACTCTCCCCTGAGAATGCAGCTGATGAGAAGGAATTGCAAAATGGAAAGGAGGAAGAAATCCTCTTAATGTAGCAGCCAGTGGAGAGAGGCACAGTGTTGCAACATGAAAATTGAAATATTCTCCTTCATCTGACAAACTCTCTTTAGGGTAGAGAAATGCATTGGAACGTCTAACCAGGAAGGCCCATGTGTCTATTTATTATAAAATCACCCTTATACTAGTGAGTTTTCATTGTCAACTAGACACAACCTAGAATCGCCAAGGAAGGGAGTCTCAACCGAGGAATTGCCTTGAACAGACTGGATTGTGGGCATGTCTAGGGGAGATTGTCTTGAATGGTAATGGATGTAGGAGAGCTAGGTCCACAGTGGGCAGCACCATTCCCTCAGCAGACGGCCTGGGATGTATGAGAAAGCTAGCTAAACATGAGTCTGTGGGTGAGCCAGCAAGCGGCCTTCCTCCGAGACTTCCTTATCCTTCCTGGCTGTGGTGCGTTCCCCAGCCAGAGTTGGTCCTGTTGAACTAGTCAGCAGGCCTGGCTTCAAGTTTCTGCTTGAGTTTCTATCCCGATTCCCCTTAGTGATGGACTGTGACTTGCAAGTATGAGTCAAATAAATCGTTTCCTCTCTGAAGTTGCTACTTGTCCTAGGTTTGTTATAGCAAGAAAATGAAACTAAAGCACATATGTTATTTGTTCGGAGGAGTTGTTTGAGATGCAATGCACAGGCTATGAAGGAGAACTGAACCTCATTTTTGAAAAATCTGTAATTCTAGTCACCCCACATGATAATTTACTAGCCTGGTAGCAATAATGCCTTAACTGATGTTTCTATACTCCCCAAAGCTATAAATCCTCACAGGGCTTCTTTGCAAGTCTTAGTGAGAAGAAGCAGGTACCCTGTGCGACCCAGCCCAAGCTGTGCTCTCTAAGGATAGCTGAAACACTTTCAGATCCACTGAGAACCTTTTACTCCAGGGCGTGCAGCGCCTCTCTCTTCTGCCTCAGGGTTTTCTTTAGCACCGAGGGTGCTTGCTCTGGCAACTGGACATAAGTGGGACATATAGGAACAATCACACCCCAGGGTTATCGCCAACTGGAGGGGCATGGACGCTGGGGGATGGATAGGCCAGCCTTCATCCGGGGACTATCCTGAGGCTAGTTGTCTGGGCCCGTGGGGGTCTCTGTGGGGCGGCTGCACCCCCACCTGTAGGCTCACTAACGCCCTCTCGCGGGCCTCCCTTTGCCTCTGTCTTGCTTTCTCCACTTCCTCAGCGTGCTCCGTAGGGTTACCTCACAAGGAAGCTGCCTGTCCCCAAACCCCATCTCAGGCTGCGCTGGGGCAAGCCAAGACCAACACAGGAAGATTGTTTCTTCCTCTTCCTCACCTATGAAGCTATAATGAAACGTTTCCATTTGGACGCTTCACTCAGGTGCCGGGGCAGGGCTATGACTTACACTCTGATCCTGGTTGTCACTCTTCAGGTGCTGGGCGATGAAGGTGACACCCTCTAAAGCTTCCCGCAGGTCCTGCCGGAACCTCCCAGAGGACCTCAGCCGGGCATCCCTGGGGAGGCCCGCTGCGTGGGGGCTGGCTGCAGACTTAGAAGCTGTGGGGACAGGGTTCACAAAGTACATGGAATGTCCATAGAGGTTGGATGGGCTGGTGGGGCCTAAGGCAGAGGTGGCTGCAGCCTCGGCCATGGTCAGGTGCGGCTGGCTGGGGTGAGGTCCCCCCGCTGGGCTGCCTTCGAGACCTGGGCGCTTCATGAAGAGGAAAGTGGGCAGCTTGTTCAGGAAGCACTCCTGGACCCAGGCCGCCATGGTGTGAGTGCTGGGGGAGCGGTGGTGCACGTTGAGGACGCACACAGTGGTGACGATGGAAAAGGTAACCAGCACCATGGTGAACAAGAGGTACTTGCCGATGAGTGGTATGTCGAGGGAGGTGGGAGGCACGATCTTGGAGATGAGCAGCAGGAAGAAGGTGAGCGCCAGCAGCACCGAGATGCAGAGCGTCATCTTCTCGCCGCAGTCTGAGGGCAGGTAGAAGACCAGGATGGCCAGCGAGGTGATGAGCACGCAGGGGATGATGAGGTTGATGGTGTAGAAGAGCGGCTTGCGCTTGATGATGAAGTCATAGGTCACGTCCACGTAGCTGGGGTCCTGTGGGTCCACCGTCCTTCGTCCCGGGAGGGCTACAATGTCCCATTCGCCGCTGGGGGTAAAGTCATCCATGATGGCTGTGGGTGACTTAAGGACCATGTCGATCTCTGTGTGGTCGTAGGTCCAGGAGCGAAACTTGAGGGTGCAGTTCTGCTGGTCGAAGGGAAAGTGCTTGACCTCAATCTTGCAGGCGCTCTTGTAGATGGCGGGCGGCAGCCACTCGATGCTGCCATTGGAGCGCACGATGACGTTGGTGTAGACAGACACCTCGTAGGTCCCGTCGGCACTGGGGGGGGCAGAGAGAAGAACGCCACACACCTATGGAGGGGGCTGGGCCCGTTCTCAGGAGCCCTCTCCCCAAGAGCCCTCAGGGGTCATCCACCTTCCTCAGGCCTGCTTTTCTCAGCAACTGCCAACCATGAGGCACTGAAGGCCTCTCCTGGAATCAGCCCAGTTAAGCCTCAGGAGAGTCCAAGGAAGCAACGTTTTGTACTGCATTCCTCATTTTCTAGCTTGGAAAGCAAGGCTTGGGGAAGCCGGAAGACACCATCAAGCTCCTCAAACTATTAAGCGGCACAGAGTGGATGCGGGCCCTCGTCCTGCTCCATCCTTGGCGTCCTATTCTTTACCCTCACTCTTGTTCTCCTTGTCCAGACCGATCTCAGACTCCAGGGCTCCTGATCTTCCTGCCTCAGCTGCTATCACGCCAATGTACCCGAGATCCTGACACGTGGCAAGTCAAGGTTGCAGCCCCCGACTTTGACAAAGCCACGAAGTCACAAAAAGACAGAGCAGCGAGGCAAAGAGGGTAAGACACTGACCTGGGGAGCTGACGGCTGGCCCAGTCCCTGCCACACTGAGCAGGACAAGGCCTTTCCCTCTCTTGGCCTCTCTTCCCACCTTCCCACAGAAGACTCTGTCTCCCTCCAGCCCTTCTCTTTCTCTAGTTCCACCGCCCAGAAGTCTGGGGGAAGCACAGTAGAGGAGGGCTGAGGTTGAATTCGGGTGTGCGAGGCCCTGGAGGCTGGCCTGCTGACCTGGCCGGACCCTCGCTAGGCTTCGGCCACCACCCCATTACTCACTTGTTGTATAGCACGATGTCAGGCAACCAGACACGCTTCGCGGGGATCCTCAGAATGTTCACCCCTTCATAGCAGGAGCTGTTCCAGGCCAGGCGGTAGTCAGTCCATTCCTACATACACAAGCAAGGTCACGCCACCTGCAGGTCCGCTGTCACCAAAGAACAGCCCCAACTTCACAGGCACTTACCTGTTTCAGCCAGATGTTGGTGGTCATGATCTGTTCTCGCTCGTTCTGGGGAGGGAAGTGAGGGCATCAGTTCATCTGGAAAGAGGGGACCCCCACAAGTGGACTATACCTAATCTCAAAAAGGCTCTGAGCCCCAGGGCTGTGTGAGCAGCTCTCGCCTAAACATCTCTTATGTAATGTATGAGTTACCTTTCACATTGGTGCAACCACATACTGACAAGGAGCAGCTTAGGGTGGGACTGAGTTTAGCTCAGAGTTTCACGGTGAGAGTGGCACGGCAGCTAGGGCTCTGGCCTTCATGTAGAGTTCATACCTGGTCATACTGTAGGAGCAGGCAGGAAGCAGGGACAGACTTGAGCTGGACCTGGGGCTAGGCTATGACCCACAGGCCTGCTCACAGCCACCTATTTCCTCATCTCTAACAGGTCCTACTGCTTGTCAGTGTGGCCTCCTGGGGCCAAAGTGTTTAAAGACACGGGGTGTGGAGGGGACACTCTGTAGCCACACCACAATACTCTGTTCCGTCCCCACGGGCTCCTGGTCATCTGATAGTGCCATGATACATTTACTACAGCTCCAAAGGCTATGCAGGCTACACAGTCTTACAGTTCCAACACTGTAAAAGTCTGAAGTCTCTTCTAAGATTCCAGACACTCTCTTACCAGTGAGTCCCTGTAAAATCAAACGATAAGTTACTTCTGATGTAGAATGGCATAAACATTCCCATTCCAAAAGTGAGAGAACATATGAGAGCATATGAGAGATGGGACCAAAGGGTCTGGAGAGATGGCTCAACGCTTAAGAGCAGTGGCTGCTCTCACGGAGGACCCGGGTTAGATCTTTAGCACCCACCTGGAGACTCACAGCCATCTGTGATTCCAGTCCCAGAGGATTCCGTGCCCTCTTCTGGCCTCTATGTGCGCTGCAAGCATTTGGTGCCCATACAAACATTCAGGCAAAGTACCCATATGCGAAAAATAAAAATAAATCTTAAAAAAAAGGACCAAAGCAAGACTGGAACCTTGCGGGAAAAACCCAAAATCTTGTATCTCCATGTCCAGCACATGGAGGCATTGGTGCCATCATCCGGGCAACAGCAGCCTGCTGCCTGGGCTGGCTCCGCTCTGTTGCCTGCAGTTTTCACTGGTGAATATTCCAATTTTCTCTATCTCCTACATTCTGGGGGCTCCACTGCAACTCAATCTCTCCCAATCACAGTCTCATTCAGCATCTTTTCGGAGGCTCCCTGCAGAGAATCCGATCTTGTCCCACGCTGCAGCCTCTGCAGCTTTCCCGAACCTTGGAAAGGGGGCCACAGCCCTGTTACTCTTGCCTCTTCCATGCCTGACAAACCAGGAGCAGCCGGAAGATGCCAAATTCCACTGCCAGCTTGAGCCGGTCCCCTTCCAGCTAACACTGCCTTCCACTGTGTGTACCTTTGTGGCTCACCCCTCGGAGACACTTTGCTGGATGGCGAGCTTTGAGCAGGAAACCCTGGCATCTATAGGCTCTCTCTCCTTTCAAATGAACTTCCCGGGGCCTTCAACGGACAGAGTCTTGTTTCCACAGCATCTCTCCTTTTACGTCAATGCACAAGGCCTGGTTTCTCTTTAACAACATCAACCCTTTCTTACCAGCTCTAGCTAATTTGTCTGTGACCCATTCATCTTCAGCTTTAGCCACATTCACATTCCTTGCCAAAATATATGCTTTTCATATCTTCTTGGTTTGTCCTAATATTTTCTCTGCCAAGCAACTTAGTCAATTTTTTTTTCAAGACAGGGTTTTTCTATATAAGCTTGGCCATCCTGGACTTGCTTTGTAGATCAGGCTGGCATGGAACTCAGAGATCCACCAGCCTCTGCCTCTCTGAGTGCTGGGATTAAAGGCGTGCACCATTGTGCCTGGCTGCCAATTATCTTTTAATTTAGCTACATTCAAATTGTTAGGGCATGGGTAAAACAGAACCAGACCTTTTTTAAATTGTTTGTTTGTTGTTGTTTGTTTGCTAGAATATGGCACAAATGGCCTATAGGCTAGTTCCCAATTGAGTCTTTGTGCTCTTCTGAAATCTCATGAGCCTAATCTTTTTTTTTTTTTCCTTTGAGACAGGGGAATTCACTCTATAGACTAGCTGGCCTCAAACTCAGAGACCACCTGCCTCTGCCTCCCAAGTGCTGGAATTAAAGGTGTGTGCCGCCACTGCCCAGCCTGGAGCCTACTTTATCCTGCCACCTCCACCCCCCACCCCACCCCCAAATCCTGGTCTTCCACAAAGCTCACCAGATGACCCTTCAAGCTCTGGTTTAGCATGCTAGGATACCAGCAGCCCTTACTTCCAATATCTGTATTAGGTATCTTGTTCATCACTGCAACAAATGCTTGACAAGTGGCTAAGGGGGAAGCAGCAGTGATTCTGGCTCACAGTTTCATGCCAAAGGATGAATGGCTGCTGGGGCTTTGGCTTTGGTGTGAAAGCCCTCGGCTGGTCATGTGATGGCACAGATGGACAACAGACATTCACACCCACAACTGGAGCCGGGCTAAAACCATAAGCCCACCATCAGTGACTACTTCTGCCAGCCAGGCCTTACTATTTAAACACTCCACAACTTCTCAAAAGTGTCTCCACTGGAGACAAGTATGCTAACACATGAGCCTGTCTGTAGAGGCTATTTCACATTCAAACCATATTAGGTAACTCAAAGATATTTGACACTCCCGGCTCAAAACAACAACAGGCATGCCATTTCCTGGCCCATCACACCCTCTCAGGGGTAATTATGTCAGTAGGACAAAAAGTGACAGACGACGTGACATTTTGGGCATCTATGGATGCTTGCTCTGCAGAACCATCTAGCTTCTTTCCGGCTCTCTTTGCTGCCACGCTGGAACGTGGTCCTCATCTACATGGCTCAAGATGCTCACTGGGGCTCCAACCACGATACCCACATCCCAGGCTGTCATGAGGGAAGAAAGGTGAATGTTAGTTGTCTCATTTTGCTAAGTTTTTTTTTTTTTTTCCTGGTGAGTTTTAATGTTCTTATATGTTTGAGTTCTAGAAATCACCTTCAGTTCTTCTTAAAAATTCCTAGGTCTCTGAAGAAACCTTCCATTATCACCCCCTAAACATATTAACAACAGCCATTTTCATTTTAAAAAGAAGTTTTTTTTTAAAATTATTTTAAATTGTGGCAAAATACTCTAGCATAAAGCTTAAGTGTTTAAAATTTTTTTATCCCATTCGCTTCTTTGTACATGTGCTCACACGCCATGACATGAGTGTAAAGGTCAGAAGTCAGCTCGCAGAGCGCTGAGGATCTGAACGGAGGTCCTCCTGCTTGTGTGGCAACCATTTTCCTGCTGAGCCATCCCCCAGCCGCTCTGTCCAGTGAGTTCCATCGGACTGCACCCATCCCCGCAGGCTCTCTGGAGGACCCACAGGAGCCATCTGAACCTAGCCTGTGCCGAGCTGGTTTGGAGAGAACACTGCTTTTCGTGAGGGCTGATCTCCTCTCACTGTTGTTGCTCGTTTTCAGTACTGGGGTGACCCTTTTAGGAGCCCCAGCAGGCTCCCATGTCCTTGGTCAGATCCAGATTGTCATACGCACCCTTTCAGCCCCGTGATGGCTCTGCTCGCAGCTGCTGCTCTCTGTCTTAGCTTCTTGGCCAGATACTGCTGGCCAGTCCTCATGTGTGGAGACAAGTGCCACAGGCTGTCAGGGGCACTTCCTGGAGCTTGGCCACCTCAAATCCTGGCTGAGGCTCTAATTACCCTAAAATGGAGCCTTCCCTGCCCTCCAGCATTTTGTCCAGCCCTTCTAATTCTTCTCCAGAAAAGCTAGTCAATGAAAGATGAAAGCCTTGATTTATCTTTTGAAAATATATTTTTTAAGCAAGACATGATAACGCATGTCTACAAGCCCAGCCTCTGGGAGCTGAGGCAGGAGGTAAGGCCAGGCAGGACTACAGTGATAGACCCTGTCTCTAAACAAGACCCTGCTTTATGTGATTTGTGGTTTCCACAGTGAGCAGACTGGTGTCAGCTGCACTGCCTGACCAGTCTTCACAAATGCTGGTTTTTGTGTGTGCATGTGTGGTTGCAGTATGTTCAGATACAAATGCAAGCTTCAAAACCTCAGTCCAGTTTCCTCTTCTTCCGCTGCTCTCTACTTTTTGAGGCAGGGTCTCTTGCGAACCTGCAGCTCACTGACTCCGGCTCTTCTACCAGCCTGCTTGCCCTGGGGACCCTCTGTCTCCGCCTCCTGAGTTCTTGATCTGCAGATGGACACCATGGCTTCCCAGATTTTAAGTGGGCTCTCAGGATCCATAGTCTGGTTCTTATTCTGTATGGAGAGGAGCTTCATCCACTGAGCTCTCTCGCCAGCCTCTTACCTCATTGTAAGATGGGAGTTTTTAGCTGGGCAGTGATAGCGCATACCTTTGATCCCAGCACTCAGGAGGTAGAGGCAGGCAGGACCGCAGAGTTCAAGGCCAGCCCAGTCTATAAAGTTCCAAAACAGCAAGGGAAAAAATATGGGACTATGAAACTTTTCTAGTTTCCAAACATTTCTCCTGTGCATCTGTTTTGCCCCTTATTTTTCTCTACTCCACTAGAGGTTGCCGAATGTGACAGAACATTGGTATAGGACCTTGGCTGTCACACCTCAAAGGGTGGGAAAACCTTTCCCACCAGCACAAACTCCTGTCTATTCCCTAGACAGTCCATCTTTAAACTGGCTATGTCCCTAATACTCCCTACTCAAAATCAAATACCTTCCCCTCCAAAACCCAGAAAGGAACCCTCCCTATTAAAACCAAGTATTTCCATTAGATGCAGCCTTTGGGGCTTTGACAGCCCGTAGGGGCATTAGCAGAAGTGAAATGGAGGCTGCATTCGCTCCTGCTTCTGGAAGCCTCTATCACTCCATGGGGCCCACAACTCAGATCTGGCAGGGGCAGCCTGAGTCTGGCAGTGTGGCCAGATCTGCCCGCCTGTCTACCCTTGCCAGAGAGGGCAGCTGGCTTGCCTGACTGAGCACGAGGCCTTTGCAGGTCATGGATGCTCTTGCCTTGGGCTGGCCAGAAGCCTGCACTGCTTTCAGCTTCCTATGGCAGGGAAAGGGCCGAGGCAGGGCTGTGTGTCTCTCCTCCTGGGCTAGGCTTCCTCCTAGGGGGCAGAGGCAGCTGCCAATTTGGACAAAGCCCTTTAAACACTAAAGATGGGAGAAGCTAAGCCTGCAGAGCTCACAGGGCTGGAGAGAGAAAATGACACTGCCCAGAGGAGTTCCATTTCCCTCAGCTAGCTTCTGGTGGCTGCACACAGTGCCCATGAGATCACTCTTTGGAGCAGTTTCCAGAGGCAAGGGTCCCAAGCCTTTGGTGGGGACAGGGGAAGGTTTACAAGGCACTGTGGTTCCTTCAGACACCCTCATTCTAATACAGCTGTGGAACAGGGGGTAATTCCAATTGATTTCACCTTCCTCAGCACACCAAATCACCTCACCTCTAGCTTTCAACACTGTCACCCTCCTTCCCACACCTGTTGTGCCTCCTATGCCTGTCCACACCTCCATCCACAGGCCTCCACAGGCCTCGGCCTGTACCTGAGTATTGGACATCCAGCTGAGCAGAGGCCAGGATGGATCCACAGTCTGCCTGCATAATGGTCCTCCTTGGCCTTTCCTCTTTGATGACTAAATGCCATGAACCTTCTTCTGTCTCCTTGCCACATACTGATAGAGCTAAGTCAGGCAGAGTAACTGTATTCCCCTGCCCAATGATTGGTTAGGCTTGGATGTGAGTTTCTAGCCCTGGCCAATGAGATGTGTTTATCAGGAGGGCAGGACTCTGAGAGAGTTTTGTTGTTGTTCCAAAAGGAATACAATCCATTGGCATCCCTGGAAATGCCCTAGAGTCCTGACATCACTGAATCATTGAGTCAGCGAACTCTGCAAGCATTGACCTGCTCCTGGTTATGTGACAAGATAGACACCCTTTTTGCTGTAGCCACTCTCAGTTCAGTGTCCTATTACTAAATGCCAAGACAGTTGACTTGCTATTAAGAGCATGGGCTTTCAGATGCTCCAACTGTGAATCAGAGGCGCAGAGAGGACAGGACATCCCAGGCAAAAGGAGCAGCAGGTGGATAGGCTCCAGCAATACCTTTTTGGGAGAAAGAATTTTAATCTGGAAGCATGATCAGCACTCTCACAGTTTAGGTAAGTTGTTTAACTTATAGCTACGGGGGAAAGGCTTAGCTGTCTGGAAAGCAGTGTAGAACATTTGCTTACAAGGGCTGTGCTGGGAGGAGGAGTAGGAGATGGGCATGGAATAGAGCTGGACAGCAAGACACACAGTTGGTACCAATGGTTGACAAATAACTAACTGGGTATTTCAAAATAGCAATAGAAAGAACTTTGAATCAACACAAAGGACTGATAAATGTCTGAAGTTCTAGGTATGCCAATGACCCTGACATGATTTTTCAAAAAAGTATTTATTTATGTATACAGTATTCTGACTGCACACCAGAAGAGAGTACCAGATCTCATTTTAGATGGTTATGAACCTTCATGTGGTTGCTGGGAATTGAACTCTGGACCTCTGGAAGAGTAGCCAGTGCTCTTAACCTCTGAGCCATCTCTCCAGCCTGCCCCCAAACATAATTTTTACATGAGTGCAATGCACCCCAGAAAATGAAATTACTGTGTCTATCAAAAATATATATTCGGAGCTGGAGAGATGGCTCAGCGGTTAAGAGCACTATCTGCTCTTCCAAAGGACCTGGGTTCAATTCCCAGCACTCACATGGCAGCTCACCACTCTCTATAACTCCTGTTCCAGGAGACCTGACTTCCTTACACACGCAGACAAAACACCAATGCACATTAAAAAATATAAAAACATGTATATTCATATATATATTTAAAGAAATAGTAGAAAAAGCCAGGCGTGGTGGCGTACACCTGTACTCCCAGCACTCAGGGAGGTAGAGGCAGGCAAATCTCTGTGAATTCAAGGCCAGCCTGGTCTACAAAGCAAGTCCAGGACAGCCAAGGCTACACAGAGAAACCCTGTCTTGGAGGAGGAGGAGGAGGAAGAGGAGGAGGAGGAGAAGAAGAAGAAAAAGAAGAAGAAGAAGAAGAAGAAGAAGAAGAAGAAGAAGAAGAAGAA